TGGAAGTATACACATATCAGCTCTTCAGTTCTAATGAAATCACAACATTGATCACATAAATAGAGAGCAACAAAAGCTATTCACTATATCTTCTGACAGAACCTGAACACATATATCTTACTCAAAGTGAGTTAGAAGAGGAAAAGAAATATAAAAGCCCCCAAAAATTACCATAAAATATAAAGTGAATAAGATCCAGAAGAGTTAAATGAAGTAGATAACATTTAAGAATGAAGTACTGAAGAATTCAGAAAAATTTTCTAGAATATAATGTACACATTTACTCCAATAGACTTGAAAATCTAAAGGAAATAGATGATTCCTGAGAAATATAAATAAGTGAAAAAATGACTTTAGACTGGATTTTTTAAAAAAGTAAGACTTATCCATTAAAATGCACCAAGAAATAGATAACTTTATAGTTGAAGTCTACCAAATATCAAAGAGCCAGCAATATTGATTAAATAAACCATCGAGCTAAAAAAAAAAAAAATGGAAAGCTTTCCAATCTACTTTACAAAACAGCATGTTCTTGATACCCCACTGGAAAAGGATAACACAATAAAAGAACATTATAGGCTAATCTCCATTATAAACACAAATATAAAAATTTTATATAAAGTAGTAGCAAATCAAAATCCCTAATGAGGCCGGGCATGGTGGCTTATGTCTATAATCCTAGAACTCTGGGAGGCTGAGGCAGGCAGATTGCTCAAGGTCAGGAGTTCGAAACCAGCCAGAGCAAGAGCAAGACCCCGTCTCTACAAAAAATAGAAACAAATTAATTGACCAACTAAAAATATATATAGAAAAAATTAGCCAGGCATGGTGGTGCATGCCTGTAGTCCCAGCTACTCAGGAGGCTGAGGCAGAAGGATCACTTGAGCCCAGGAGTTTGAGGTTGCTGTGAGCTAGGCTGATGCCACAGCACTCTAGCCAGGCAACAGAGTGAGACTCTGTCTCAAAAAAAAAAAAAAAATCCCTAATGAATTAAAATAAAGTAGAATTAAAACAAGTAGAGTTTATTCCAAGAAATAAGAATGATTCATCATTTTTAAATGTATTAATATAATTCACTACATTTAAATAGGAAATAATATGATCTCAGATTTTTTTTAAATAGCACTTAATAAAGTTTGTCACCTTCTCTAACTAAGATGATGTAAAGATATATGAACATCCCAGAAAATTAAGAATAAAACTTCCTTATTGTGCCTCCTAAAAATCTATAGAAAACATCAAATTTGATAAAACTTTAGAAGCACTCCCATTAAAATCAGGAATAAAGCAAAGCCATTCACTATCACCACTACTATTCAACATCAACACTCGTCAATATAAAGAGGCTAGAAAAAAAGACATGAGAGTTCTAGGCTACAAACTACAAAAACCAACTATGACAAACTTAAGCCATAAAGAATTCATTGGGGCTGGGTGCGGTGGCTCAAGACTGTAATCCTAGCACTCTGGGAGGCCGAGGCAGGTGGATCGCTCAAGATCAGGAGTTCAAAACCAGCCTGAGCGAGACCCCTTCTCTACTAAAAATAGAAAAAAAACCGAATTGACCAACTAAAAATATATATACAAAAAAAAAATTAGCCGGGCATGGTGACACATGCCTGTAGTCCCAGCTACTCGGGAGGCTGAGGCAGCAGGATTGCTTGGGTCTAAGAGATTGAGGTTGCTATGAGCTAGGCTGATGCCACGGCGCTCACTCTAGCCTGAGCAACAAAGTGAGACTCTGTCTCAAAAAAAAAAAAAAAAAAGAATTTATTGGAAGGATTTCAGTAGCTCACAGAAGAAATGAGAAGCTAAAAATAAACAAGCAAGAACTAAGGACACTCCAGATAACTATGCAGAAGAGGTGATCTGAATAATGGTCTTAGAGCAAAATCAATTCAATGAGCCTACTCTGCTCAGATCGTTCAGTCCAACTGTTCTTTCCATCCATGCATCAAAATTCAAAGACTTGCAAAGCAACATCTATACAACACAAAAATATTGCAGATAGATAAAGAATCTGTAATTTTTAGACCTACAGAATTTTTTTTAAAAGAACATAGATGAGGCAGGGCATGGTGGCTCACACCTGTAATCCTAGCACTCTGGGAAGCTGAAGCAGGAGGATTGCTTGAGCTCAAGGAGTTCAAGGAGATTAGCCTGAGCAAGAATGAGACACCATCTCTATTTAAATAAAAAAAAAAAAAGGAAGAAGAAGAACATAGAAAGGTACTTTTATAATCTTAGGCATGAGAAAGACCTTCCTAAAATAATACAAAAATACCAGGAGTTACAAAAAAGGAAAAAAAAATCAAAAGATTTGTTTATGAAAAAGAAACAGATTTAACTATGAACTTTTTTAAACTTCTGCCATAAAAGATAATATGAACAAAGTAAAAAGACAGCAAGAGTCAAGGAAAAAAGGTCTACCATGCATAAACAGAATACCCATGATACACAAAAGAGTCAACAGAATAAGACAACAATCTCTAGTCCAATAGAAAATAGGGCAAAAGGTATTAAGCAATTTATAGGAATGAAGTATAAATGGCCAATAAACTTAGGAAGCATATAAACTCATTAGTAATCATGATAAATGCAAATGAAAACTATTTTCTGATCATCAGAATAAGATATTGAAGACTAACAAAAGTTAATATTGTCAAAGGAAACCAGCAGTCTAACATTCTTCTGTTAAAAGCCTGAACAGGTACACCCTGTGTGTTAACTCTGCCATTTTTACCTCTTTACAAGTACTAGTATTGTATAAAACTGTATTAGCATTCAATTATCTCAGTAGTTCTCAAATTTTGGGGTCTCGGAACCTTTCTACACCTCTAAAAATTATCAAGCAGATAAATGGTTGTCAGGGGCTGGGAGAGGGCTGACTACAAAAGGGCAGGAGGGAATTTGGGGTGGATGAGGAAACCATTCTATATCTGGATTGTGATGGTGGTTACATGACTGCATGTGTTTGTCCCAAAATACAAAATTTCATATTAAAAATGGTAAACAGCCAGGCTTGGTGGCTCATGCCTATAATCCCAGCACTTTGGGAGGCCAAGGCAGGAGGATCACTTGAGGCCAGGAGTTTGAGACCAGCCTGGGCAACATAACGAGACCCTGTCTCTAGGAAAAATTTTTTTAAAAATTAGCTGGGCATGGTGGTGCACTCCTGTAGTCCCAGCTACTCAGGAGTATATGAGGTTGAAGTAGCAGCGAGCTATGATCACACCATCTAGCCTGGGCAACAGAGCAAAACCTTGTGGCTAAAAAAAATATAAGTAAATAAATGAATTAAATTCAACTTAAAAAAATAAATATGGTGAATAGATTGTATGTAAATTATAATCCTAAAAAAAAACCTGACTTAAAAAAATTTCTTGAGGTCCCTAAAAGAGTTTTTGTTTATGTGGGTTACAAGTATCATTATTTATATTAGAAATTTTAACTGAGAACATTTTAATAGTTCTTTATATATTCATTTTAAAAATAAATGCACTAAATGTTAACATAAACAATATATTCCTTATGAAAAATATGTTTTCCAAAGCAAGAAACATTTAGTGAGAAGAGTTTCACTGTTGTATATTTTAACAAATCTCTTTAATGTTTGCCTTCAAATAGAAAACAGCTGGCTGTATTCTCATGTCTGCTTCCATCTGGTAAGTATCACAAGTCATGTAGCTTCTGGGAAACTCCACTGTACACTTGTGAGAAAATGAGAGTGAAAAAGATGAATAACATCTGCATATTATTATGAAGATAACTTTAACCTGCAAGTGTCAGAGAAGCTCTAGGGATCCCTGAACCACACTTTGAGAACCTCTGATTTAGTCTATACAAGAAAACATCAAATTCCAAATACGAAGTAGTAACAAAATGTACTTCTTTTCAAATCAAGGAAACAGTATCTTAAGCAGATTATTTGTGTTACTTTAATATGGTAATATTCCCCTTATGCAGGTCATAATTTCTGCCAATGACTTAGACTGAGCTACAAAGTTCAATGTAAATGAAAAATGTGCTGCAGTTCAAGGATTTAAAAAACCAGTAGTCCAGAAGACAGTGACTGCATCATCCTCAAAACCTCACTCATAAACTCTCTGTAGGACAAGAAGGCAGCATGAACATATAGAAAGCAAAGAAATGCCTGATCTCAAAGAAAGATCAAGTAAAGCTAAAAGGAAGTGGAATAAATAAAGGAAGTGGAAGTGGAATCAAGTAGAGCTAAAAGGAAGTAAAAGGAAGGTGGAATAACTACAAAAGTAATGCAATATTGGAGCAAACATCCTGAATGTAAAATGCAAAATATATATATATATTGCTCCTTGCAACTGCTTATACAATTAAAAAACTCAAAATGCTGTTTATGACTATATCCCCATTCTACAGATAGTGAAACTATGCCAAATGACTCTTACTTGTACAATGTCACTGCTGACTGAAAACGGGAATCCACCGCTCCTCACATGCTAAGCAAGGTGTCAGGACACTGCGTGAAGGGGAATACTGGCGTGTCTGTACTTAAGTGTGTGCATAATTTTCATAACTGGAAAGTTGTCCGTAACTATTTGTTGCTCCAAGAGAGAAAGTCAGAAACTTGCTGTCTCTAGGAGCTTTGTCCTCCAGCGACTTTCAAAATCCGTCCAAGGCGGCGGCGGCACCTCCAGGAGACCGCGCGAACCCTGGGCGGGCGCGAGCTCCGGAACGCTGCAGTGGCTCCGTCACCCGTCGGGAAGTCCTGCCCGGCACGCCCCTAATGCGGCGTCGGGGACCCCGTTCCCCGCCTCCTTTCACTTGTACTGGGGCCTCCTCCCTCCCCGGCCTCAGTTTACCCCTCTGTATCCGAGGGGGTCGGACGAGCTGCCTCTTGGCGCCCCTCCAACTCGACCCTCGGAACTGTCCAGGGCGGCGGCCGCTCGGCCGCCCACCCGAGTCAGGCCGTCCCAGCCGTGACGGGACCCTGAGAGGGCCGGTCCGCGGCGCCCCGCACTCACCCGGCTTATGCCTCAGAGCCATCACGGACACTAGATAGTGGGCGATGTCAAAAAAGGGGAACATGGACGTGCGGGAGAAGGCCAGAGCCAGCTCATCCCACGGAGACTCCATAACGACGACCGACCGCGGCGGCCGAAGCAGCCGCGGCGACGGGTTCCCAGCGTGCGCGGTGAGGGCTGGGGGAGGGGCCCCGCGGCCGCGCGCTCGGCCGCGCCAGCTCGAGCCCTGCGCGTGCGCCGTGGCGTCGGGGGCGGGCGCCGAGGGGCGGGGCCGCGCCTCTGGGAGCCGCGGGCGCCGGGGCGGTTGGTGGGCGGGGCGAGCGGGGGCGGGCTGCCGCCTTGGGCGCCAGTTCTCCTGAAGAGGGTCCAGCGTCTTGTCAGTGCAGGGTGCCGTGCCAGACTCTAGAGAACCGGCAGACGCTCAGAGTCGGATTTATTTCTGTAAATTGATGTCATTTACCTAACGCTTATTGGGCAACCACGGTGCAAGTCACACTGTGACTTACTGGACATATAAAAAAACAAAACAATATCCTGCTCTCAAGATATGCACGTTCCCACCCACCCCACCCCCAAAAGCCCGCACGTAATTGTACAAAGCAGGTAGTGAGACGTAGAGATGCCGTGCCAGGGCAACTCCGAGGGGAGGAAGATTACTTCAGGGAAGTGGGTAAGGTGACGAGCGCTGAGCTGGACTTTAAAAGCTAGGTGAGATCCAGCGCTAGGCGAGAGGGAGGGAGGTTTGGGGGCTAGGGTACAGGGTGGGAAACGAGGCTGGGAAAAACACTTAAGTCTCTGAATGGCAGACAGCGAGCCAGGCAATTTGGATCCAGGAGTTCTTGACCAATCACTCATTATCCTCAGGCACGTCAGAGCTGCGATCCCTTCTCTTAACCATTATCCCAAACTGGGTTGCGTTTTCTTCTGGAGTGGCGGGGTGTGCGATCGAGCAATAAAGTTAGATATGGATTGGTGAGAAGAGACTAAAGACGGCGCAGATTGGAGGGGATTCACTGGTCCAGGCAAAAGGAGGTGGGGGCTGAGGAGGTGGAAGTTGAGATCCAGGTGGGGAAACATGGGGGGATATCAACTCAACCTGTGAAGGTGGGAAAGGAAACCATATATATGTCAAAGAAGGAAATGCAGAATGGAGGGGTAGGAGGATGGCGGTTGCGTTCAGACAAATAGGAAAAAAGGAGAAGTAGATTTGGGTAAGAAAAAAACAGGTTTAGTTTGGCAGATTTTTTATTTGATGTGTGAACAGATCACGCTGGCGCCAGGAAATCGGAGATAAATGATGAGCTGCCAGGCTCCGAACAGCTGCATGGGAGTATGCGCTGCAAAGGGACACATTGATTTTTTTTTTATCTGAGTATTTACCCATTAATTTTAATTCGTTTAACAAATGTTTTTTGCATGCCTGCCATGTACCAGGCATTTTGCTGGGTGTCAGTGGCATCAACCTAAACACTAAGTGATTAAAGCATGAGAAGATTGTAATAAATCTCTACATTTCATTACTTCTCAAGAAAGAACAGACTTGTTAAAATACTTTTCATGTGTGGTTTTCTAAGCAAGCACTCCCTATAGAGAAATGTTTTTAGTCCTGTATCACACTTTCTAGCAAAACCAAAGAAATAAGGAATACCTGTTTTATACTTTTATGTCTGAGTTCTTTCCATATTTTTATACATTCCCTTATCTTTGGAATTATAGTGTTGTGAATGGGGGCAGAAACTTGGATAGTATTTCCTAAAAGGTTTTATATTTTTACAGTTTAGCAGTAAAAGGTTTTACATTTTCACAAAATATGTGTTTCATCTTTGGACTTAAAAAAATATGAAGTAATCCTTACAACATCTCTAAGTCAGATGTCTATGCCAGTATCATTCTGGGGTATGATTAAATTAATTATTAACTCCAATAGAACAACAGTGAAAAATATCGGGGATTTTTTTTAAGGAAGATAAATCAAGCAGTTTACCTACCATAAGCAGATTAATTCTAACAGAAAGGAATTAATCATCTCAGACTCTATAAGTAATCTGATATTTGCCTCATTTCAAAGTCATAACAACAAGCTTGATGCCTTGCTCCTAAAAGAAATATATATATGAAATTTAAATAATAATCTCACAAAAAGATGAGTTCGACAATGATGATATAGCACCTCTTGTATTTTCCTGGATAGATCTGGAACCCATTCTACTAAGTGAAGTATCTCAAGAATGGAAAAACAAGCACCACATGTACTCACCAGCAAATTGGTATTAACAGATCAATACCTAAGTGGACATATAGGAATAACATTTATCGGGTGTCGGGCAGGTGGGAGGGGGGAGGAAGGGATGGGTATATACAAACATAATGAGTGATATGTGCAATGTTTGGGTGATGGTCACGCTTGAAGCTCTGATTTGAGGGGGAAAGGGGGCATGGGCAATATATGTAACCTTAACATTTGTACCCCTATAATATGCTGAAATAATAATAAAAAAAGACGAGTTCTATCTAAGTTTTAAATGTGCTCACTGTATTTGCTTCTGGTCACTGCTTGGATTATTTAGTGAAATGGGGCATAAAAGAAGGAAACAGAATGGAAAGAGGGAAGGCTTTGAATTGGTAAGAGGGAAAGGCAAGATTTGGGAAAATTATGTGTGAAAATTCAAACATTTTCTGACTTTGAGAAGTGGTTTACAAAATTACATAATTATTGCAGATGAAATTAATCTAAATCACAAAGTAGAGTTTATTCATTAGGAAGCAAAACTGATCTAGTTGTATTAACATCTGAAAATTAGTTTTGACTAAACCTAATGGGAAGTATGTTTGAATTCAAAAACATGTGGAACTAATTTCATAAATCAGGTTTCTCAGCACCAGCATTATTGACATTTTGTACTGAATGATTCATTGTTGTAAGAGACTGTCCTATGCATTGGAGGATGGTTAGCAGCATCCCTGGTACTAGATGCCAGTAGTGCATATATGCACACTCCCCAGTTGTGACAAACAAAAATGTCTCTAGACATTGCCAAATGTGCCTTGGGGTGGGGCATAAAATCACCCCTAGTTCAGAACTGCTGTTTTAGATGAATAAATGCTTTATTTAGAAGTATGTGCCTCTAATAATACAAACATTGTGATCATTCCACTAATATTAATCATCCCATTAGTTCTAGAATAACTCACATAACCCTTCCTAGTTTCAACTTGCTTGTCCATCTCCCTGCTCAGATGGCAATGCCCTGAAATCCAGTATCATAAATGCAATCCCAGCTGTTTTTTCCCTGCAATGCTGCCTTCTATCCACTGAGTGGCATGCCTTTCACTTTGGGAAATCCATAACAATACCTTTTTATTTTATTTTATTTTATTTTATTTTATTATTAATACACAAATCTCTATATATTTATTGGGTGCATGTGAATTTTGATATATGCATACAATGTGTAATAATCAAATCAGAGTATTTAAGATATTATCACCTCAAACGTTTATCATTTCTTTATGTTGGGAACATTTCAAATCTTCTCTTCTAGATATTTCGAAGTATACAATATGTTTTTCTAGCTATAGTCACCCTATTTTACTATTGAGCTTTTTAAAGGACCATAAAGAGTCCATGATTAGGAAGTTTCATATTAAAGGGACCAGTTTGCATTTCTAAACTTTAGTACTGTGTCATTTACTAATGCTAATTTAGTATTAGGCATTTTCATTCTGAAGCTAATTTGTTATGTACTTGATATCCACACTGTATCAAATTATATTGTAGTAATGTATTATATTTAAGACAAAACATGTATAATTTGAATTCACCCTTTTTCATGTTCAGGATTATCAAGCAGAATTAACTAGAGAACACCAGTTGCCCTCAAAAACCCACTGAATTCTAGCACATGAGATTTAAGTGGTAAACCAATTCAAGTATACACTCAACTCTTTAGACTCAGCATGTATCTAATAATAGTGCCTTCGATATTGTGTCTTGGAAAATCTGACTTGGCTCACTTATTTCTTACATTGGAAACCAAAATTCTTTCCTATAAATGTCATTCATACCTCTAGTATAAACTATTTAACTAAAAATATTCTCCATGTTTAACAAGTACAAATTTGCCTAATTAAAAACCTGATGTTATTAAGGGGATATCTCTAATCTTCATCAGTGTAAGAACTGCCCACTGATGCAATAGCTGCCAGTTGTCTGTGGTTACCAACACTCAGGTTACAATTCATCTCTGTTCAAGAGTAACAGGTACCATTAGATCACGGAATAAAGGAATTTGGAGGTTGAATGGATCCTTTAAAAAAAATGTATCTTGTAGTACAAGTTATAGAAAACTGTTCTAGGCAGCTTAAGCAAAGTGAGGAATTTATTCAAGGTCTACAAGGGAATCTTATGAAAGCCAAGAAGAGTTGAACAGTCAAGACCCAAGAAGAATAAGAAGCAGAGCATTTCTGTGTACTTGATGTTTGGGCAAACAAAAGGAATCCTACCTGGGGATAGGATAAATGTGTCCAAACACCAGAGCGTGCATGGTCAGGAGAGTACACAAATACAGAAAGGGCAAATGCAGTGGCAGGTGGGTTCTGACCCATAATAATCACAGAGGGACACAGCTTCTTTTGACCAGCCTTAAAAAAAAAATCACAGAGGGAAAGTATTCCAACACAAGCTGTCTCATGTGACAATTGATAATAAATACATACTCCGTTGTCTGAGCTCAAAGTTGTCTAGTTTTCAGCTTTCATATAGAATGTGTATACCTTACATATCTCCCAGATCTATTGTTAAAGTCAATGTTATATCAGTGGAATTGTGTATATATGTATGGAAAGAATGTATATTCCAAGGATTGCTTCAATCACTGTTCTATAAATATCTGTAAATTTGTGTGAATTGTGTAAGATGAAAAATCTGTTAAATGTAGAAAAACTATTAGTATTTTATTTATTACCCATTAAGCCAAATAGTCTTATCATTTTGCATTCAAAAATTGGTAATAAGTTTCCTTATTCAAAAAAAAAAGCTAAAAAGAATAAATAACAGCAGAACTTCTCATAGGCATTATGATTATCTAAGAAGAGGATAATTTCCCAAAGTTATTTAACCTTATAAACCTTTTTTTACCCTCAAGGCAGTTCAGGAAAATGGAAAACCAGTTTGGAGAACCTTATATCAAGCTTTTCCTATCTACACTATTTCAACTGGACTATCAGATTATTTATAGT